CCCACCGGAACATGTACACAGCTCTGTTTAATATTCTCTTTGAGATAGAAATACCTGCTTAAAGGCACTCCTGGGAAATTTACCAGGCAGCTACTAGGCCTAAGTCTTAGGCCCACGACCTCCTGCTCAGTGTCTTGACTCACAATGCCCAACCGTGTGATAGCACGTGCTTAATAACACTGGAATAACTTTACTATAACTCTGAGAAGTAAGAGGTGGGCAATACAGAGTCCATATTGTCATCCTCAATCTCTACTAGTAAGAAAACAGGTGCACTGACTTTCCCAGATCAACAGCAAATAGCGAATCTACAGAAACTCATATCCATGAACTCTTAATGCCCTATATTTGTCACTCCCCAACCTCACCTAGAAGTCAAAAAAATGAAGTTGCCTAAACCCTGAAGCTCTGGCTCAGTAGGGAGGATGGAAATAGAGGCTGGTGTTGTCCAAGATTTCCCAAAAGCAGGATTATGTCCTCACAAGGTTTGCATCCTTACTTCCTCCCTACGGTGCTCCCTTTCCCTGTGTTGTTTTGACACTGAACATTGTTTCTGTTTATATGGATTATATCTGTAAATGGCCCGTCTCTGGAAAATGCTCCATTTGGCCACCAGCTCCATGTAAAACCTCTTATCCACTGAGTAGCATCAGCTTCTTCCCAGAGATCCTCTTCCTCTAGAGAAGGGTGCAGAACCTACTAGACCCCAGTGAGCTCACAGTGGCTACTTTAGAAAATGCCACCACGGGCCTCAAGTATATCACAGACCAGGGAAACCCTCCCCATGATACAGAGATTTTTGTTGCCAGCATAGTTTGAGCCAGTCACGAGAACATTGCTGGTCCGTGCCTGAAACCCTAGGGTACAATTCTGGGCCCTGGCCTCTGATAGCCTCAGTGTGCAGCTGAGCAATGCCTTGATCTGCTTAAGGACCAAAGAGGCAGGGCCCAGTGCTGTGAGTTCTACTTTCAGGCTCAGACAATACCAGACCAGTGAAAACTGACACGGACTGTCCCTCCCTTAAAGATCCTTTTGAGAAATGTCTCTTCATTTTATTTTATTTTTTTGAGTTTCATTCTTGTTGCCCAGGCTAGAGTGCAATGGCATGATCTTGGCTCACTGCAACCTCCATCTCCTGGGTTCAAGCGATTCTCCTGCCTCAGCCTCCCAAGTAGGTGGGATTACAGGCATGTACCACCACACCTGGCTAATTTTGTATTTTTAGTAGAGACAGGGTTTCACCATGTTGGTCAGGCTGGTCTCGAACTCCTGACCTCAGGTTATCCGCCCACCTCGGCCTCCCAAAGTGCTGGGATTACAGGCGTGAGCCACAGTGCCTGGCCAAGAAATGTCTCTTCTTAATGGGGAAAGTTTCCTGGGCAATCCAGACATGCTCAGTGAGTCTAAGACCACATCTGACTAGGTGCTTCCATAGGCAGTCCTGAGAGATGCTTGTAGCTGTCTATACAGACAGCTACAAGGTATGTCTATATGTCTATGTTGACAGCTATGAGATGCTTGTAGCAGTCCTGAGAGATACTTGTAGCTATCATATTCCCTTCCCATCCCATATCCTGCCATGGGCTGCAAAATAGAAACATTATTTTGCCTTGAAAAGTGTTCATAATCTAGGTGGGCTCATGTGGACCTGCCCCTTTGCTGGCTCTGGTTGGTTCTGGTTTGCCTGTCTAACCCCAAGAGAGGTCTTTTTGTTCTTTCTGGAGGCTAGATGAATTCATGTGTAGACAAAAATAGATACAAGTTGGGAGGTCAGCCTTGAGCAGGGACAGGCTGAGGATGTTGTGGCTGGGGATACAATGAGTACATTGTTCATGAACTGGGTAGGGAACTAACTCCTCACCTCTTGTGCTCCTGGAGGGAGGTTGACATTGGTCAAGAGAACACTATGGAGAGAGACAGCTCAACTGGGGTTCTTGGAGCCCCTCTAAGCACAAAGTTTGGGCTATGCTCATTGATTTGGCTTTCCCCAAGTCCCCCTAGAGTTATTCCAGACTGTGGAAGGGGCCAAGTCTAGAGGAGAGGTTGCAGATTAGAGGCCTGCAGGCCAGGCTTGACCTATACGTATGCACTCTATGATTCACACAGCATTTAAAAAAACTTAAATTAGCTGCTAATATTTTAAAAGCAGACGTCTTTAACTCTTTAAATCTGGATTTTGAGTCTTGTGAAAAATGAGAATATCTAGCATTACTGGGCCTAAATGGGCAGTCAACTGGAGTAGAATAGCAGCTGCTGCCTTCAGACAGGATGTCTTCAGCCTGCAGGGTTATCAGGAGCAGCAAACCCAGAGGAAGCACCTTATCTACAGGCAGTCAGAAGGGCGCATGCTGAGACAGTGAAATGATTTCCTTTAGAGCCTTTGAGCAGCAGGCTCGCCTTGGCTCTGGGCAGGAATGGTTTCTGAGGCTGGCAGAAAGAGGCAATTGTTTGTCTCCATTCTCTGCCTCTAGGCCATGAGTCATTCTTGCTCCTACCACCAGAAGCCAAGGGCCCTGCAGCCCAGGGTATCTCAGTCAAATCAGGCAAGTGTTTGCCTGTCCCTAGCTCAGAGAATGCATACATAGTCCAGCCAGAGATATTGCATCAGCACTGTGGTGCAAGAATCAAGTGTCTTCACAAACAGCATCAAACAGACATCAGGAAAGCAACAGCATGTGTGGCCGAACATTCAACTTTGGATTTAGATCTGGGAACTCAAAAGATCTCAAGCTCTGGTGCCACCCAGCCCAGCGAACACATGAGTGGGAGATGAGGCTCAGATGTGTCCTATGACTTGAACTCAATTTGTTAAGAAAGGAGCACTGCACACTGCTATCATTTTACCCTTGACAATTTGAGAGAACACAATGAAAGCTTACGAGCAGAAAAATAACTTAGTCAAGCTCAGGAATCTTTGAAACTCAGAAGTGGCTACCATACTCCAAAATATGCCAGGTTAAGACATCTACTTGTATAGCACATGGTACCACATGCCCAATACCAAACCCATAGCACACAAGAAAGAGGATTTAGAATAAACAGAATAAAAAAGGTAACTGAGCTTATGACTTTTTAAAAAGTCTAAAATGGCATCCATGGGATGATGCTTAGAGGAACTAGACAGCCTCTCCCCAAGTGGTACAGGGCATCACAATCAGACTCCTTGTCACAGAGACTTTGACAATGGAGCAGAAACACTGCCATGGAGAGCTATGCAGAGCAGGCACAGCAGCACGGGCAGTCAGATAACTCAGGCACTACAATGCAGCTATTCTCTGACCTCTGATTATGTGGTTACTCTCCTGGCATAACCTTCCTGAAACATCAGCCTTCTGACACGTTCCTTTCCATATTCAAATATTCTTGATCTCTTTCTGGATTGTTTACACCATTCCATCATCTTCCTCCCTTATCCTTCTCACCTCAAAACCACACCTTGTGCAGACTTGAAAACACAATCTAGTAGGTTGTTTTCTGCACTCTTTCTGAAAATACTTTCATCATTTGAGATTTTTTTCCATCAGGCTATTTTCTTTCCTGGGTCTTCAAAAGAAAGATTCAATTAAAAAAAAAAAAAGCTTCAATTCCTCTTGCTAGTCAGATTTTTAGGGAATATTATGAACAAGAGAAATGGCACACAACCTAAGTAGAAAATCAAATGGAGCCAAGAATGTGGTAATTTATTAATCAGCAATGAAAAGATAACAAACAAAAGTTTCTGAGCCATTGGAACTGGTTTTTATGGAGACATATATGTAAAAACACTGACTTATATTTATATAAAGTTATTCAAAGGCACTCAGACTAGCAAACACCAGAATTAAAATGTTTATCATGTGACCAAAGGCAAAACGCAAAGCCTGTGTTCACCAGTATGCTGTCAAGAAACAATCTGAGTCTTATGCTGATCATGACAATTAAAAAAAAAATGCTAGTGCTTTTGGGGGAAAGATTGTAAGTAGTCCTCTAATTGAATCCACTCATTTTAAGGACCAAACTTTTGTTCTTTAAGTAATTGTGAGCACCTTTTATGTGCCAAGTACTCTGCCAGGAGTTATAAGGCATACACACATAAACTTCAGTCATTGTTTAATTTTCAAGATAACTTAAAATGTAAGAATGATTTAAGGAAAATTAAATATTAGATATATTAATACAGTTCATTTAAAAACCTAATTAGCTTCTCAACAAATTCTGAAGAGTTTTGATGCAATAAAAATTCAACACCCCTTCCTAAAAAATTGTAGCTCATTATTTACAATATAGAAAAAGTATTTAAGAATTGAAAAATAGTTAGGTCAATTCTGATACTTTTACTAAGAAAATCTATTATAAGTGATAGTAAAGATGACAATACAGTAAAAATTTAAAATGGGATAAATTATATGATATTAAGCATACAAAATCAGAGGACAAAATTGCATATCTCTTGGGACTACAGATTTGGAAAGTACATGTATACACATAACAAGGACAAAAAGAAAACAAGGAGAAGACATTATTTGAATGGTAGGGAACAGTTTAATATTTTTTCCATTTTGATATCTATTAAATTATATTAAAATGTTATTTATGTAGTAATTTTTATTTAAAAAACTATATAGAGTAGGAAGAGGTGGAGCGGGATGGGAAAGGGGCATAGAATCAGCTGAGAATTGACTTTCTAAAACTCCAGATGGCACCCACAGGATGAGGGTGAGGCCCCCAGCTGAGGGCTCCCTCACTGCACCAGGTCTGGGGAAAGTGCTATCTCGGAACCTGTCTAACCAGCTCAGCAGGTTATTCATCTCAGGGCAGTCCTTCCTTTCCCTACCCCCTCTGCCACCCTCAACGTACAGGTTGGTTTCACTTGCTGTATAAACACTATACACTGAGCAGCCAATCCCACCTCCAGGCAGGATGGGAAAGATGACAGCGAGATCTGTAGCCTGGGCATACAAAGGGGCTTCAGCACATGAGCTGCTTCAGAACCCAAGGGCCTTCAGTGCACCCGCCCTTACCTGTTGAAGCATCTCTTCAGCAGCATTGAGTTTCACCTGGTGTCCTTCCAGACACACTTCCAGGTCTCGAATCTTCTCTCCCTGGGCTTCTACTTGGTCTGTGAGGACACTCACCTGTTCCAGGAAATAAAGCAATGGTGTAGGACCAGGGACTTCACATGGTGCAGGAAAGCCTCCCCACTGCAGGCGAGCCGTGAAACCTCACCACTGACTCTTACACACAGGGAACAGTTTTGCTTTTTGCTGAATGGCGGGTGGAGGAAGTGCCCTGAATGAAGGCAGCTCCAGTTAGATTCTTACCTTACCAGGGAATCTCGGCCACTGCTCTGATGACATGGGTCACGTTTACTGCTCTTGACAGACTCAAGAGTAAAACACCCAACAGCCACAGGAGCTGCCTCTGGGCTGGACTCCTGCTCCTTATTCCTTTTCCAGAACAGCCCCAACCTCAAGGCACATCTCAGCTGGCTTGTCAGGACTTCTGCAACCTCATGTGGAAGAGCGTTCCAAACTTCATGGAAACTAACCAATGACCTTACCTCTCTCATAAGGGTGTGAGGACTGCTCACCTATCAGGCGAGTGTTTTGTTGCAATTAAGGAATGTGGGCTGTAAAGGGCATGTATTAGCACTGACAAAACTTGGCTCCAGAAAGGTTTTTGTGCTTCACAGGCCAAAACATGACTCTAAGTCATAAATATAGAGGAGCCACATTACACATACGGTGGCAGGAACAAAGTCATCTTTCTGAAGAATGCTGAGAATCTCTTGAAAATATTAATTAGTAAAAACTCATTTACAGGAAGTCATTCAAATTATGCCCTAACTATATATTAACAATGGTTTTCATAGCCTTCTCTATTAGCAAACTGCCCCAGGATCCTTTTTCTTTAGTAAGAGATGGCTCAAAGCAAGAAGAAAGAGAATGAGTGTCCTCCCCAAGTGAAGAAATTAACAGTTGATAAACTGAGATCCTTTCGACCTTTTTGATTAGAGTCATTGCCATTTACAAATAGATTATCCGGAATTATTTCCCAGTCTGTAATGGAATAATAGATGGAGCATGAGTTGATGTAATTCATTTATGAGTGTTTAAATAAACTTTCTGAATTATAAAGCACCTGTTTAAAAAGGAACTAATCTAAATTAATATGCCTACTTTAAGATCTCCATTTTTATTTTCCCAAACGATGAATGAATTATGGAAACATATTCCTGGAGTCGACACATGGTTAACATTCCACTTTTAACCAAAAAATCTGTTTAAAAAAAAAAAAAAAGGCTCTATCAACTTGGTCCACCTTACACGCAAACCTTTGTGGGTGGGTGTTTATTTATTAATCCCTGTGGCCCAACACTCTCAGCCATCCTGAACTAACTCCACTTTCAAAAGGGCAGGACTCTCGGGGTGGGCTTTGTTCGCTGGAATCTAGAGTTTCTGTTTGTGAAGGATGTTTTCTGGTTAATCTTATCATGAGGGTTAAACATTTCTATGGTCTATACCATGCCTTGAGGCCATATGTTGGTGATACTCAAGGAATTATAGGATCTCTAGCATTCTGTAGCTAATTGTTCAGCTCCAGAGTCCTTCTGAACCTCAAGGCTGATTCTAAGTATTACGAATGAAGGGATGTAGGAAATCCAGACAAAATACATAAAGGTCCTAAAATGTGACCTTCGTTCACTAAAAACAACTATTTTTGAAACCCTAATAGATGCTAGGCATAATTTTAGGTACTGGAGGATACACAAGTTAAAAAAAAAAAAAAAAGGATGAAAATCCTTTTCTTAAGGAGTTACATTATAACGAAGATATAAGAGATTTTGGTTTTGTTTTTAACTAATCCTAGAAACAAAGTATTTTGTTATGTGTGATTTGCCTTTTTCTACCAGTAGAACCAGGAAAACTTTCTGGGCCAAGGACTCTAAATTAATTCAGTCTGGCTAAGCTGCTGTGTTCATTAAGCAAGAGGCTCTACCCTGCTGAGAATCTGCCTAACCAGCTCCACTGGGCCACTATAGAACAGCAGTGATCACGTAACAGATACTCCTGGAGTCTGCCCATAAGCTCCCAGTAAAGTAGAAACCACTAGGGTCAACTTCTGACTTTACTGGTAAGCAGCTTCCCAATTGTGTTAGGATTATTTAAATGGGGATTATTCAAGAATTCAGAATTTTAGAAAACTATGAATGTGAAAGGCAGCATTATTACACAGGACTTTAAAAAATTAAATTGTAATCCTCTCTAAATAGGAATGTGCTATTTCCTGGTTCAAAAGTTTGCAATGCCATACTGTTTGCTGCCAAATCTTACATTGGATACTCTTTCATTAATCATGTCATTGGGATAAGAGTTTCAAATTACATATCCCTCAAATATCTGTGCTACAATGTGCTATTCAATCTGGCCCCTGCTACCTCTCTAAAAGGCAGCTTGCACCACACTTTTGGGCACAGACTCCAGGCACAATGGCCCCTTGCTATTCTTCCCACACCCCAAGCACACTCTTGCCTCATTGTGTGGGCTGGACTGACCACCTGCTCTGCCTGGAATGCACTTCTCCAGGTATCTGCATGGCTCCCTGCCCGGCTTCCTCCTGTAAAGGAGATCTTCCTTTTACTACACAATCCTCATCCTGCTTTACTTTTTTCCAGAGTTCTTACTAGTGCCTGAAATAGTTTATGTATTGGCTTATTGTCAATTCACACTCTCCTTTTTCTTTTCTTTCTTTTTTTTTTTTTGAGATGGAGGCTCGCTCTGTTGCCCAGGCTGGAGTGCAGTGATGCGATGTCAGCTCACTGCAACCTTCACCTCCTGGGTTAAATCAATTCTCCTACGTCAGCCTCCTGAGTAGCTGGGATTACAGGCACCTGCCACCATGCCTGGCTTATTTTTGTATTTTTAGTAAAGACAGGATTTCACGCTGGTCAGGCTGGTCTCCAACTCCTAACTTCAGGTGATTCACCCGCCTCAGCCTCCCAAAGTGCTGGGATTACAGGCGTGAGCTACCGCACCTGGCCCACTCTCTGTCTTTCAAATGGAAGATCCACAAGAATGGGAACTTAGTTTGCTTCCTTCACTGCTGCATCCCAGCATCTAAAACCAGCATCTCACAAGTTGTAGATACTCAATTATTTTATAATGAAGAAATTAATGAAGTGAAGAAAAACACAAAACTTCAAAGTAAAACTGTATATTTGGTATGAGCTCAGTTATTTAGAATAGAGGCAAGAGAAAAAAAAAAAAAAACATACACTGGAAAAAAGGCCAAAATGTTAACCTGGTTCTTCAAATTTTTAGAATTTTAAAAGTTTCTAAAATCATTCATTACCCTTATGTTCATAAAATACAGTGAAAGAATAAAACATATAAGGTAAAAAGAGAGAAAACAAACACATTGCCACCTCATAACCCTAGTGCTCCAAGCTAAAGCCCACAGCCTGGGGTGGGGGCCAGGCCTCCCTCAACCCCTCCCTTCATTCTATCACTAGTCTAACTCATCACCCTTTAAGCCTTTAAGGAGCTGGGATTAGGATACGAGCCTTTATATTTTCCAAATCACCAATTAATATCTGATGCATACCAGACCTTAAATAAATGCTCGCTAAATCAATTTATATTTTCAAGAGTTAACACAGCAAAGTGCTAGACCTGCTTCTTCAACAGCCTTCTTATGAGAATACCTAACTCTATGTCCTACCAAGGCACACAAACTTTCAAGAGCAAAAAAAGCTCCCTTGACTATCCTTCTCCGTAAAAGGTTTTAGAGTTCCTCTCTTTCAAGCAAGACAGCAATCAAAGGCTTAGCCCATTACCAGCTCGAGGGGATTTGGCATCAAAGTGATCAGTCTAGATCCAGCGTCAGACAATTTGGACTTGATTCCATTAGCATTCACCCTTAGGCCCATATCACCCACAGCTCTGTTTTATTAGTGGCATGAGGATATATCTCCCCTCCCGCACAAGACTCAGGGGCTTCTGGGGGACAGGGCCCATTTTGTTCATTCTTAGCACCTGGAAATCAGCCTGGTCATGGGGCTTCCAGTGTATAGAGGCAAGTGCTTGGTAGTGCATGATCAATGAATGAATGAATTCACAGCCCCCCAAAGCCAAGTCTAGAGTTAAATGTCCCCTGAGTTACTTAATGTTTTATTTCAGGAAAAGTCTTTTCTAAAAACATATGCTTTGGACGGAGAAAAATTCCAACAGAGAAAATCCCTTGTGCTTCCCTTCCACGTAGGGGAAACTACATAGTAGGAGGTAACAGGATAAGCTGATTCTCACCAAACAGTACCCACCTGCAATATGAGGGACTCCTTATCCCCTTCTAGACGTGCCAAGCGTTCCTGGTAGGTTTCATTACTAGCAGCACTGTGGTGGTTTACCTGGGACTAAAGAGGACAGAAAAAAAAGAATACACTTAAAAGGTTGGAAAAACATCTTACCAACTTCTAAATGAAATAGGGGATGCATGTAATTTGTGAGGATAGCTTCACTGATTATATGTACAAAACCACTCATCAAAACAGGAAACCACAAGATTTCAAAACTACCATGAGGAGAACCAGATCACATGCCACTGAAAGGTGTGCCCTGGAAGTTGGCACAACCACCCCCTGGATGACCTCACTCCTGGCCAGGAGGGCCTCTGTGAAACTCTAGGCCCAGCAGTGCTTGACTTGACCAGCTGGGTCTGGGTTAGCCAGAGGCACAGCCTCCAGAGGCATGTTGACAGTGAGGGTCTGCTCTTTGAGGAGACTGGAGAGCTGGCACCATACACCAAGGGACTACATGGGAACAGCTTCTGGATAGATCTTGGTATCTCCTAACTCTCATGCCAGGGTCTCCTGAAGCCAAGGCACACCTTGCTGCATGGAGGCCCATCCTGAATATCACAGTGAGCACGAAGGATGGAGGATGTCAAATGCAAGGCCCTTCACTCACACATCCCTTCCCACCCCAATCCCACCCTCTAATAAGAGCTTTGGTAGCCAGGCTAGCAGGTCACATTTCTGCAGTGCTAGAGCTGAGAGAAGCAAGCTAAGACAAACATCTTGAGAAGAACTTAAATAATAGCCAGAGGGATGCCAGAGCAAAAGCACAGGAAATGACAGGTAGCCAGAAACTACAGAAAACAGAGGAAAGGGAGAGGATGTGAAATGTCAGAGGAGAAGCAGAATCTTACAAATGCCCCGAGCAGAGAAAGGAGGTGTCACTTTCTTGGGTGTGTCTGACCTGGTTGTGGGCAGACAGGAGAGAAGGAGCTAATGTCACCAAGCTGGCCCCAACACCTCCTTCCTCCATGCGAATGGAAGACTGAAACCAGACTGGTCTGCAATAGGCCACCTAAAAGGTTGGCAGTCTGAAAAAGTAGATCCAATTGCTAAATGCGGAACTGAGTATCATATAATCTGAGCTGATCCAGTGAAATCAGTGCTTCAGTATTCACGAGGGAGGTGTCTACTACCCTAGAGGAAAGTCTTAATTGTGCAGAGGCAGATGTGAGAGACCCAGAGTTGGGCTACCTTGTCCTAGGCCATTTCCCCACATTTCAACTTTTAGCATGGGCTCTCCCACCACCATGAGAAAAGGCACCTCCTTCCTCCTCTCATCCCACCCCTTCCCAATGCACTGCACAGGTGAGGGAGGCAACAGAGTCATTCCCAGTCCTAGAACAGAAATGTGGACCAAGCATACTGCATTCAAACCCTGGAGTCTCACTAATGAAAGATGCATTGCTTGTTTGTTGAAGGTGCAGCCAGAGGACAGGCCCGGGGCCACTCCCCAGGCCAGCTGTGCCAGGCAGCACCTGCTGCCACACCTCTGTCTTCTGCTCCAGCCCCTCTGGAGTCTATGTCTTGTTCATTGTTATGGAAGCTCTTAAGAACGTTAACAATCACAAATGACTTCTTTGTTAATGGCAGTTTATTGTTGCTAAATTAATATTCCAGTTCTCACATGATCAAATTCTCTGACTAGAATCCAAGAATATATTATAATCTATATTTTCTCAGAACCTGAGAAGGAAAGATAGGAGAATAATTCTTAATAGCAGGTCAACTTCTTTGTCAAAGAATTCATATGATGGTGATTTCCAGTGGACAGAGAATTAAAAAGGACCCAGGTGTCCAAGTGAAGCTCTGCACGTAGAATCCCAGTGCCAAGTCCACATGGACACGGAGCCACCTAGCTCTGGCAGCTGCCCATTCTCTGGCAGGAAATGAAGGACAGAAGACTAAAGGGAAGACTCCTTCCACAGACTCCAGAAGCCACTGTACCAACTATGCCTTATTCAAATGGTGTGCAGTATATTCTTCATTTTAATAAAAGGTCTACCCATACAATCACCCAGAGAGGTAACTATTTTTATTAGTTGACAAAGAGTAAGAAAGTTGAAATCAGAAATTCAGTTAATAAAATGTATGACCCAGATTCTATAACACATGCTAGAAGGGGGATCAAAAATCTAGATCCACGCTAGCAGCCAATGAAAAAAGAGAAGCACAATCAAGTTAACAGATGCGCAGATCAGTGTGGTAAAATCAAATCAATTGCCTAGGAGAAGCATAATTATTCTGGAGCAAGGGATAAACTTCATGTTTTCATCCAGAGATTTTGTGTAATGAGATCAGCAATACCCATGATGACACCCTTAGAGTAAACAGAGCCCAGTAGAACTCATTGGTTTTGTGCGATGTTCTCAGAATAGTTCAGAGGCTAGTGGACAATATGGGCCAAAGGTGAAAGCAATTCTATGGAGACTAATATAATACGGTTCAGGCACAGTGCTGTAAATATACAGCAAGCACCTTGTGCTCAGTATGTGCCAGGCACTGTTCAGAGCACTTTGCCATAATGTTTGAGTTTCCTACAAAATGTTTCTATTAATTAAAATATATTTGAAAATCTAGAAGCACTGTTAGAGGACCTAGAACAGTGGTTCCTGATATTTGTCCCTCCTATAACAGATTCAAGGAGCCAACTCCTTTCCTAGCAGTCATACTGGTCCATACAGCAGTGGTGTGCATGGCAGACAGGTCCCTCCCGCACCCAGTGCATCTTCCTCTTCTACAGGTCCTTCAAAATCACTGGTCTCCAGCAAGCTTTTTAAAGGTATTAAACAGCAGTGAAAGATAATGTTCCAGACAGAAACGCAAAGTATCACTAGCCTTTGCTTTTGATGAAGTCAGAGCCATGTGTTTTCATGATCTATATAGGACTGGGATGTTAAAAAAAACTGCATTCTTCAGAAGGGCATAGGCCAGGATCAAATGCCACCTACGCCTGGAGAAAAACTTGGAAAGCATCTGAGAACAGGGCCAAGAAGAGGATTGTCTTGCTGAATGCTAATACTCATCAGCCAAAGGTAAGGATTTGCCTTTGGATGAATCTGTATATTCTGTATTCTTATAATATGGCAACAGGTTCAATCACATTCTGGTATCATTCTTGCATTATAAAATGACTACATCATCAGGGCATAATAAGCTTTGTGGTTATCAAAATGTGATTCCAATTTATTGAGAAATATATTTTAAAGGACTGAGTTAGGACACACCTCTGTTTTGCTCTACTTTAAAGAGAGCTTGCTTGGTCAACAAGTATACCTGCTTCTTTAATAGTGGAATTGCAAACAGAAGGCTTGGATGGATAGTGGGTCCCTGCATGATTCCAGGTTTGAGGCGTCCCTGAAAAGTCTTGTCCATGTTCCTGATTAGGTAAATCAGTGATAGGGCAGTTGCCCAGCTCTCCATGAATGAAGTCAGGTTGCAACAACCAAGTCCACATTCCACAGAAAAGAAAGTCCAATCAAATTCTGAAGGATGCCACATGCTAATTTTCTGGGTTTTTTTTTTTTGGTTGTTCTTTTTGAGATGGAGTCTCATTCTGTCACCAGGCTGGAGTGCAGTGGTGCGATCTAGGCTCACTGCAACCTCTGCCTCCTGGGTTCAAGCGATCCTCCTGCCTCAGCCTCCTGAGGAGCTGGGACTACAGGTGTGCACCACCACGCCCAGCTAATTTTTTGTATTTTTAGTAGACATGGGGTTTCACCATGTTGGCCAGGATGGTCTCCATCTCTTGACCTTGTGATCTGCCCACTTCGGCCTCCCAAAGTGCTGGGATTACAGGCATGAGCCACTGCACCTGGCCTACATGCTAATTTTCTATTGTTTCCCACTGTGATATGGCAAGTGACTATAAAGGAGAGTATCATCCACCCCCTGTTCTACTTGTTAAGGATGCTCAACCCACAGATGAATATAAGAAAGAGCTAATTTTTACTCAACCAATGACATTAGCCACTAGGCTAGACCTGCCAATGGTAAGCTCTGTTACATATATTTGATCAAACTTCCTCCCCCTCTGTTTTGATGGTTATTGCTACAAATGTGACAGGGAAAAGTCAATCTTCTCATTCAAATTTTCCATTATCAGAACTGTTTCTGATACTGTAATTCAGGTTAGTTACCTAAAAATATTGTGAGAACCATGTGATCTGTGTGCCCTATGGAGAATTGTTAACTACAGATATTTCCATATCCTCTTCAATTTTGACTAAAGAATGCCACAGTGAAACATACTACCTCTCCTATATCATGGAACTGAATCAAGACAAGGGCTTCTTGAATGCATATCGTTAAGAACTCAGCACCTTTAGTCAAGATTATTGAAGCCAAACCACCTTTCTGTCTATCAAGCTTTGCTCTCAAGAGGTTGAAAAAAGTCTCAGACACAAGGAATTCATCCTCTAAAACTCAGATCTTGTGGAGGCAAATATAAAACACAGCACGGAGTTGTCATATCAAGGTCTTCCCTAGGCCTTGAGAGTAATATTCCAGAGTGTTTCAGAAACAGTGACGACACATCTCCTTGATTCTTACAGGTTATCCTAGGGTCTGTTTCTATAAGACCCAAACAGCTACCACTGCTGGGGCTGGGCAAGCCTAATGTGCAGCTTGAGCAATTAACAGCCTAAGGTGTGGGTATTTTCTAAGCCATCCCTAACTGAGAGGGGCCTCAGAAAGATGTATCAGCTGTGCAGGATATTCTATGGTTGGGATTCTGGAGTTGATCATGATAGTCAATCAGCCTCAGCAGGGAGAGGATAGAAAGAGAACTGTGAGTAGCCAGGAGGGAGAGGACTGGCTGACCAGCAAGATTCCAGCAGGGATAGTCTCCACATAAGGGGCAGTTTGGACCGTACAATGACACTAGCCTAACCTAAACCAGGTCCTGTCCCTGCCTCTCCCATCCCTCCCCTTGGTCAGTAAGAAATTTACTCTTGATAAGTTCCTCAGGCACAGAGAGCTGGATGCTGGCAGACTCAAGAAATCAAGATTTCTGCACCTTGGAGAACATTGCATTTTAGGGATGAGATTTTCAGGGGATG